AAACTATTGACGGAATCATTCCATCAACGAGATTGTAGTATTTTCCATATAATCTTATTATGCAGTTATATTCAAGTTTTAGTTAATTAATTAAGTAATCTAAATATACTACTTAATCTGATAAGCACGATTTTTTTTTATAAAAAATAACAAGTGAATTCGGCTAATCCTATATATAATCTATCACACCATTAAATCTTTCACACCATTATTTCATCAAGATGAAAACCGCGTGTTGTTGATCCTAAAAAAAAAAAAGATCACATGTCTGAGGTATAAGTGATTCGGAAGAAGAGGCCAAACTCGGCCGGTTGGCGGCGTGGAGGTCTACGAATTTTGCATGTTAAAAAATTCTATTTAAACATTAAAAGTAATGAAAAAAGACAATTTTAAATTTTATATGTTTTTTAGAAAAAATACATGTTGTTATTTATATTTAAAATAATACCTAAATGATATGGCCCTCAGAAATAGCCCGATAGACTGGACTGAGCATGATGCTCGGTTAGGCTGGTGTAGGAGAGTTCTCACATGTACAAAAGTAAGATGCTCGGTTAAGTTGCTCGTACACGGGCTTCAGGTACTGAACTACCCAAAAAAGATACGACCTAGAGATGTCAACATCTAGGATCCTGCAAAGTAACCGACCTCAAGGTATCAAGGTCGGGTGATCTGACGACATGTTAGACATCAGGGGGAGGTCGGGTTGGATCTTAGGATGAGGTCACGTTGACCTCGGATAGGCTACCACATACAAGTCAGGAGGTCAAAGTTACGACCTAAGGACCCGTGAGCTAAAAGAGGGGAAAAGATTCCTAGTAAGAAGAAAAAAATGGCTCGTATAAGTATTCTTACCTCGATACATACGTGGTATGTTAGAGAAGTAGAATCTAGTTGGATCTCTTCTCTAACAAGGATTCTCTTGGGCACCAAGGTATCTGCCCTATATAAGGGTGACAATTTCTTCTTCATCTATCTTCACATTCTACGCCTTTCACTTACATAATTTATATATATGGTTTGAGCATCTCCTGACTTAAGCATTGGAGAGTTTTCCGTCTGGATCCCCTCCCGGCGTGTTACAGGTCATCGGAGCTCAGGATGAGGACCGTTGAGGTGTAGGCGTTCAAACCCATTGTGTCTCAAAGTGACGTAAAACTACATATATAATTTACTCATCTTATATTATAATATTTTTTTACTTATATCATATAACAATTTTATAAGTAAAATTATTTGAATAATTAATTTTAATTTTTATCATTAAATTACTAGATAAATTAATTTTTATTTGTAAGTATAAATATAATTATTTGTTTATATTATCATACAATCTAGATGTTGAAACGGAGTTAATGCAAAGACGATTGATTTGATA